AAATCCTTTCTCATTTTTAGCCATCTAATTATAAATCAGAGCTCCGTTTACTTGAGTCACAGAGACTTATGATGATGATATAAACGGAAAAATCCCTATTGCAAATCACAGAATCTCAGTGTATCTTTCTTGAAAACTTCCCTAATTCAAGAGCCCATCAGAAATCAGTGTTTTCTTAGAAGGTGATCATCTAAGATATAAAATAACTTAAGATACTTAGAAGGTGCCCAACTAAGATATAAAGTTATTTTAAATTGTTATAATAAAGTTTAGCCTTTCAGAACTATAGGACTGCAAAGCAAATTTTGGTGTCAAATAGCAAAATATAACATCAAATATAAAGATTTACCTAGATTCATTACCTATTTATGTGGCACCTACTAAAATGGCACTTTCAGTATCACAGGTTCACCCTTAAAATGGTAACAGAAAATACTTAGCATATGGGAATTAAAATATAACACATAGGGATCCATCCAAATCATAACAGGAACACAAGAATCATCAAGATATTTTTTTCCAACACTAGAAAAAAAGACATCTATATATATAGTTTAAATACAGTAATTATTATTAATAGTGATTTGTATTTATTTAGTAACATAACAATACATTAGTAATGAAGTATGTTTAGATGTAACTTAGATATTTATTGCTAGAGAATAAACCCAACATAACCCAATGGGAATTCCTCTATAAGCAACATACACACACTCACAGTTTTTAATCTTGCGTTTATTATTATTTTAAATAACTCAAGGTGGCACTTAACCACTAGATTACTACTCCATTTGTGTCAGATGTTCCTACCAAAATGTTTCCAGGTTGAAAGGATTAGATCAAATGCTGCAACAATTACTCTAAATCCTTTATTTCAACAATTATGGACAGGGATAGCCTGCCTCACTGCCTGCTTGTGCTGCCAGATTATGCGAGAAATAAATAAAATAAAAATGAAGCAATTCATATAAAGTATACTGCTTGATCAGCACACTGGGAGAGCAAAGCTGAAGATCTAACTGTATACACAAATACTTGGCACACAGAAGTTGGGGGGGGGGGGGAGAAAGGTTGCTGGCAGGATTTTCCCTCTTAACCAAAATCTCTCTGTTGATGCACTTAAGGGATGAATGAGAAAAGCTAAGTGTTCCAGGAGTTAAAATTGCTGTTTCATTAAATCAGTATCAAATTGAGGTGCTTCTACAGATACATCTGTATATTGCTGTCATCCAGTTGATAAACTCTAAAGCAGCTGAAATGTATTTATTTACTTATTTATTTAAATAGCAAGAGCTTAAGTAAATATCAATACAGTAGTACATGAATGAGCTTCTGCTCTCCTAATAATTCAGCATTCCTTCTATTTAGCACACATTTTGCTTTCTTTTTTTTAGTACAAGCATTACCAATAGAAGACCAATCCATAAATAAAGTTAAATTAACACAGGCAGTGGTCTTAAACTTTCTGTGAATCTTCTATTGCTACAAATTACATTATGTTTCCAAGTACATTTTTACAAAAAAAAAATATGAAAGTAGCCCAATTTTCTACAAGTTTTGTAGAATGTGTTGCATAATCTCAATTTACTTCATCCTATTATGCTAAGAAAAAGAATATCCATCTGTTTGGGTTTTTTTTCCTAATGAAGGTTTTTTGGGGGGTTAAAATTTTATTTGAAATCTGAACTATAAATTGGACGGGCCCATGTCTGAAGCTCTTGATTGGGTGGTCTCTGGATATCTACCAAACTTCCAGTAAGCTATAACTCAGGAACTGTCACTATCAAAATAGATATTCTCTGAGGCAGTTCATTCAATGGTATTTTTTAATCTCATGATGCACTACTTTTTCAAGCAAGGCCTTGGCATCCATCTTTAAAAGCAAAAATTGGAGACTTCTTGTTGTAAAACCTTTTAAGGTTACATAAGTTATTTGGTTAGTTAAGTTGATCATAACTTTTATTTGACAAGTTGTCAAAATTATTTATTGAAATTCTTATACATTGCTTTATTATTTCCCGTTTTTAATGGTTATAATTTACTCTAAACTATCCCTAGGATACTGAACTGAAAAGGCAAAGTAAACATTTAAAACTCAGGAAGTCTCTATATAAGGCACATCAAAACAGAAACTTAATAGGATGCACATTTAAAAAATCAATTCAAAAGAACAAGTTACATGAGAAAAATTACATAACAGTCATGCAGGATCATGACAACTAGAAATTCCCTATCAATGTAAGTAATCTTTTAGGCAAAGCCACTTCAATATACCTGCTTTTACTGTCACATGTTAATATAATGTTAGTTCAGATTATAAATAAGAGAACTAAACTAAGGCCTTTCCAGACACCAAAGCACTAACCAGATAACCTTTAGAACAAGTTTCAATCTGATTATAGGGCATTTGGATGGGAAAGATAGAAAATGGTTTACAAAATTTTTCAAGGTTGTTACGTATCTTCTAAGAAAACATCTTGGCAGAATGGTCTGCCCTGCGCAGTAAATTAGAGGGTGGTTTATGATTATTTGGAGCCAATAAATATTTCTCAAAAGAATTCTCTACTTTCTTAACTCTAATGATGAACATGCCCTCCAAGAGCATTTTCTGGATTTCAAAACAAACATAAATTATCCACCATTATCACTATCTCTTTGAACAATAGATATTTTAAATAGGTATAAACATACATAATAAAATAAGAAGGGATAATTTAGGCACTGACTCATCCTCTGCTCAATGCAGGAATACAAAAGCATCCTTAACAGATGGCTGTCTGGCTGCTGTTGCAACTCATCTAATAAAAGGGAAACCACCATATCACTGGGAAACTGGCTCTACCATCAAATTACTCTTACTGTTACAAAACGTTCAGTTGCCCTCTGCCATATTGAAACTTTAATCTATTCATTGCCTGAACTCCAAAATGACAGAGAACAGATCTTCGCCTTCTTTCATGTGACATCATTTCAAGTATAATATCTTCCCCCGTTTCCTAAATTTTCCAAAATTCAAATACATATGATGTTCAGAACCAGACACAATATTTTAGATGGGGGTCTGATCAAAGCAGAATAAAGTGGAACTTTACAAGAACTAGTTTTTAAAAAATAAATAAAAGTACTTCTATTTAAGTAATGTTTTTAATGAAAATGAACAAACTAATAAAAGCATCCTGAAATGCAGAGGAAGGACTAATACATATGCACGCATGTATGTATGCATGTATGTTATAAACTGATTTTGTTGATGTGCTACAGCTTATCAATAATAGTATATAATAATCCAGAGAAAAGCTCAGGTCTGTTTTATTTTTTTAAAAGCCTACAGAAATACTTAATTAGTTGATTTTATTAATGCTGGAACACAAAGCTTATCTTCCAAAAACCAGAAGAAACAGTTCAAGGTTCATAAAACAATTTAACAATAACAAATGGCACAATGTTATTATAAAAAAATATTCCATTTGTGAAAAATAATCTTACTGAATCCAAGATACGGATTAGCAAAACAGTTATAAAAGTTTTAAAGAGCATTTGTCATGGCAGATGGCCAATACTATCCTCTCGCTCATTATTATTTAAATGGAAAAACACACACATTTTAGTTAGCAATTTTGCAAGTATAATCCATAATAATAACATTATGATTAAATACAATTCATAGTAAATACAATTGCATAGTAAATACAATTCTCTTCCTATGCTTCATATGGATGCAGTTTGAATAGCAAACATGTATCCACCCAATTGTGTGATCTTCAGATGGATTGAATTATAGTTCCTAGTACTTCTAGTAGCCATGATCAATTATCATATTGACTGGTTATGAGAAAAATTCTGGTTTGTATAATTTGAGTGCCAGGTTAAAAGGTGGTGAGTTTAGGTTTAGAATACAATTACAGTGAAAGGAATGATAGTGATGAGACTAATATGGAATCCTGAGAGCATATATAAGCACTTGCATTATATAACTGCTGTTAGAAAACAAGATTGTTCCTAAAATTACTGCTCTGGTTACTGGCTGTTTTCTATTTCTCCAGCTTATCTGCAAGCAAAACATCAAGCTATGACATCCATCATTTTTATTTTCTAAGGATGCATTGGCTGCTTATCTTTCTTTTTAAATAAAGATAATACTTGGACTTGATACTTTGCCTTATAAACTGTCCAACTTTCTTTTTTTTTTCAATTAAAAAGATTTCTTAATTGGTCAAAGATAGAAGAGGGCTTGCCAAGAACAGTTTCTGCAGTGACTTTGGCATCCACAGTTATCAGTCTACATAACAGAGAATGTCTCTGCAAACATAAATTCTTGTTTATAGAAAGCTAGAAATAAGACTACACAATAGTCTTTTTTCAAAAATCCAGATAGTTTTTATGTGAATTGTAAGTACCATCACAGAAAAAAACGGTCACTGGCTGAACCTATCTAACAGTTATAAGTCTCCATCTAAAAGCACTGTCCATTAGTAATATGAGAACAGATTCAGCCCACCCACTGCATATTCTCTGTATGCTTACCGACTTCAAATAATATTTCTATTTCCACATTCCCTTTAAAGTTCCATCATCTGCATATGACATGTGGCCTTAGAAGATAGAGATTCAAGAATATTGCACATATGCAAATATTGATAATGAAAATTACAAAATCTTTGTTACAGAGGAAAAATATTGAGCTGATTAAGAAATGAAAAGCAATAACCTTTTCTCCGTCACATTGCCAGTACTAGAATTGGAAGAAAAGGCTATCTTTTTTTTAAAAGCACTAAGACTATTTTTTTCTATACAAATAAGGAAGAAACCATCTTTTTCTCATCTCTATTTAACAAACATAATCAAACTGTTTCTCACAAAACTTTTGAAGGCCACAGATGCAGAATGTAGCACCTTCCCCTGGAAATTCTGTTTCCATAAACTATTAGCAAAAATTAGTGTATGCTTCACAAAAAGTTCATGGCAGATTATGTGAATTTAATCAAAAATAATTACTGTACCTCACAGTGAAATCGTAGGAACAAGAAACCAATATAGTGGGATGAAATGGTGAAAACTGCAAAAGAAATAAGAGAAACACAATACATAAGTCTCAATACATATTTGTGGGGGTGGAGGAAAGGGAGAAAAGATATTTAGAAAGAAAAATTCTTCTGTAAAATAACAGTATTAGAGAGAACCAAATGAAAATATTATTTTGTATAAAAATCAACATAAAGTTGCTTTGGTGTAGCATCCATAATCCCTGCAATAAATTAAAATTTCAATTTAATATAAAATACCTTACAGATCCATCACCTAACGATGTTATGGTGTGTGTCTCTAAGATACAGATTGACCATAAATTCTCAAATCACCAAAAATGCAATTAAAAATCCAAACTATTGAAATATTTAAAACACTTTTAAAACGTACCGCAGCAATGATATATACCTATGAAAATCTGTATGATTTCACAAAACACTTCTGAGATATGATGTCTTCTATTGCTAACACCAAGGCAGGAATTCTTTTTAATTACCAAAATAACTTAATCTGGATTCAATTTAACTTAATCAATTGGATTCAAGGATGAAAACTGGCAACAGAAGTTTTTATAATTTCACCCATTACAAAGAGTAGACTATTAATCATATAGCCCTTGGCACAAACCGGAAAGCTGAACAAAAGTTGCAGCAAAGATGGAGACCAAGAGCCAAACTCTACTACACTCATAGATGATTTCAGCAACATTCACTTTAAACCAATCTTTTTCAAGCACATTCATAAAAAAGAGCAATTTTTCCTCAGAAAGATTTATAGTACTAAACATCTCTTTATTTTTCCCCCCTTAAATGCTGAAACAGCAAGAATGTCTTAACAGAAATCTGAGTTTCTGTTAGAAACAAAATAAGTTTCACGTTTCAAATTCTGAATACTTTCTGAATGTTTGCAAGTCTGTTTTACAATTAAAACAGCTGCTGAAATAGAACATTTCACATTCAATATGGTTTAGAATCAAGTTAGTTTGCACAGCCTTCATTTACCAATTAATGGCTTGGATTAGGAGAGGGGTAGGATGTATAATATCTTCACACTTTACAGTTTATTGTAACTCAGGTAATCTGGATATCCAAACTCTGCAATGGGCAAACGGACACCTAGCTTTAGTATGGTGAAGGATTGTTGGTAAGCAGTTTTCAAGCTAGCACTTACTAATTTGGTTTCAAAACAATACTTAACTAGCTTGCTAACAAAATATAGGGTACAGGTAATCCTTGTCTTACAACCACTTTTTTCATACTTATGACTACTGCAGCATCCCCATGGTCATGTGATCAAAATTCAAATGCTTGGCAACTGGCATGTATTTATGACAGTCCCACTGCCCTGTGATTATCTTTTGCAACCTTCTGACAAGCAAAGTGATTGGGGAAGCCAGACTTAATAACTGTGTTACTAACTTAACATTGTTATTTAATTGATTTACTTAACAATTGTGGAAAGGTCGTAAAATGGGGCAAAACTCATTAACAACTTAACTTTGGGCTCAAGTGTGATCATAAATCAAGGACTTCCTCAAATGGTTTACTGACATTATGACATGACTATTCCCACTGTCAATAGGAACAAGTTTGGTATAGTGGTTAAGGCTAAGGAGCCTGTGAGTTCTATTTCTCCCTTAGGCTTGAAGCCAGCTAAGTAACCTTGTGCAACATTCTCTCAGACCTAGGAAGCAAGCAATAGTGGAAGCACTTCCAAAAACCCTTGCCAAGAAAACTTGACCAGGCAGTTTCCAGGAGTTAACCTTGATTCAAAGGCAATAAATAAAATAAAAAATAATAATTGTCTATTTAAAAAAATTAACCAGTAAAAGATGAACAATGACTTTTCCTGACTATTTTACTGCCATCATCATCTTAGTATACTATACAATTGTTGTAAATATTTCTTAAAATCTACCCTGCTGCTCAGGTTTTACCTGATTTTAACATTTATTACTTCTGATATTATTATTTTGTATTTATCTTCTTTACTGAAATTATCATTTTTTATGTTGCCTTAGAATTCAATCTGGTGAAGGATGGTCTATAAATATTTTATAATGTAAAACCCACACAACAGAAGAAGGAGACAGGGCCTGCTGAACACAAATGTGGAGCTCATCAAACGCTCTGCTGGGTTTTGTGGACTGCCTGTTTTCATAACCATTTAGAAATGTAATAATCAGAAAAATATTAAAACTTACTTTCACTCTTCTTATTGCATATGTATGTCCGAGCAGACTGAACATAGGTTGGCGGGTATTTCTCAGGTCCCAGCCTTTCAAAGTGCAGTCAACAGCACCTGTTACAAGCAAGTTCTGATAAAAAAAAAATGCAATGCACAAAGAGTTTTATTCTAAGAATACCAACAGCTCTCAAATTGTAAACCTAAACAACAGTGGCTAACAGAAATTTCAATATGAGAAAAACTTTGGATTTTCAGAGATCCAAAGATAAATTAAAATTGGGATTTCAGGGTGACTTTGGATCAGCTACTATCTGATAGCTCAGCTTATTTCAATGTTACTACACTGTTACTACTACACTGAGAATAAATTAAAGAAAGATACAATATAAAGATAGGTATAAAGCCGTCAGTATTATTAAAATCAATTGCAAATGGAGAACAATCATAATCTGAAGCAATCTAAATCCTAAAATAATAAAAGCAGCTTCTCCGCTGTTTAAAAATGCACTATTTATATTTATTGTACCTGATCATATTTGCACCAATCACAACTTAAAACCTCAGCTTGGTGAGCAGGAATTATCACTGGGAGTCCTGGTGATTTTGCATCCCAAATCCGTAGAGTTTGGTCACCTGAAACAGACACATTAATAAATGAAACTTTATATAATATTTATACATTGTTTAGAAAGGATGGAGAGATAATTAACATATTTATTTAGAAAGGCTGTTTAGTTCATCAAACTGGTCACTTCATGAATGAAAAAGCACTGAACCCTAAAGGAAGAAGTTTAACATGTACGTTTTAAAGAGGAATTAGTGCTATTAGCCATGTGAAGAAACTGATATTTTTTAATTATTTTTGTTGAAATTTTAAAGAAATTTAATTGTGACTATGGATCACTATATAGCTATACATATGCTAGAAAAGATAACTGTATCAGGTATACAGTATATAATTCTGTGGAAAATATGCTATGAAAAATGAAAGTGAAATAAACCATAAATTGAGTAAAATCATGTTAGGAAATTCAAACATGGCCAGTTATCCAATTTTCAAGACTGATGTTGTACTTTGAAGATAGGCCAAGCCAGAAAAAATATTCCTCAAAAAATACTAATCTCTGCTTTATTGGTATAGGTCATAAGTTTCATAATTTCAGGGTGCTTCTGGACTCATGGCTCCTTGTTTGTCAAGACACTGTGAAAAACAAAGTGACTGAAAACATATCTAAAGCAGTTGTGGCAAAAAAGGAGGATATCGTTGAATACTTGTAAGAGCTTAAATAGTACCGACAAGCATAGCAAATCAGCAATTAGTCTCTACATTTATTGCATCTTTAATTCCCACATGATGGCCTGCACAGCCTTTCAGGTAGGGATAGCAGACCAAAGTCCTGCAAATGTAAAAAAATGAATTTGAGGGTTTCCTGTCAGATGAACTCAATCATATCTGCCCTAAGTTTGGGTGCCAGTTGATCATGGCACTTGGTGGAGAAACCAAGCACCATTTTGTGGCATAACTTTGGATACTTTTGAACATTTACAAGTATCCTAGGAAGTGGATACTTGAACTCTGTTACCTGCAGATTCTATCCATGCCTCCTTCCCTCTCCCTTCAGGCAAATAGACACGGCGTGAACAGCTGAATCCATGAGGTCATTAACATTTTTTGTGGGTATCATGGGATATGGAATAAATTCTATCAATGGTGGGAACGGAAAGGGACGACCCAGAATAAAAACTAATCAGGATTTGTAGAATGGATAATTGAAGTTATATATATAATTACAATTAAATATGATGGATAATATGATGGATATAAAACTAACAGCACAGAAAACAATATAAATGTATATACTGGATAAGTTAACTGTATAAATGTATAAATATATATAAGATATGTATCGTATACTTTAGTATGTATGGCAAAAATGTTGCCAGGACGGTCACACTGTGTCCAATATTTTAATGGCTAACCAATAGAAAAATTAAAAAAAAAATGTGAAGAAGTATTAATGCTGCCAGTTTTGAAAGGAGCAATAATCTGCAATTCTTTAAGATGTGATCACTAGATCAGGCTCAGTTTGATGACTTTTTCCCTGTCTCCAATTTTTCCATTCTGGACATCTCACTCCAAGTATCTTGGTAGCATCACAGCCTGTCTGGAAGGATATTCACCATCAAAAATTGAACATAAGTAACTCTGCCAACTTTCCATCCCTTCAGGTATGGACATCTTGCATCTAGGAAGGAATCTAAATCTGAGGGACTTTTATTCAAGCTTTTTATCAATATAGCCACTTAAATTTGTAACTTTCATTTTTAATGAGCACTTAATAGAATCTGCTGGTTCACAGCTGAGGTGGCAAAGCAGCTGATTTGTACACTGATCAGCTCCCATCTGGAATAATGTAGCAGTCTGCTGGATGTATTACTCAATTCCACTCTCTGGCTTCTGATCTAGTTTGTTCTCTGTGTTGCTATTTGGGTTGTTCCAGATGTCCTCCAAACCAGGGGTCGCCAACCTTTTGGATCTCAGGGACCACCAAACTCATACTTTTAAATCCCGAGGACCCTGGCATTTGCCCAGTGCTGGAAACTACCTTCTATCCCCACTGAACTTATGGTCATTCAGAAAATTTTACAATGTGCAGAAATGGACAATCTAACCCAAGCATTAAAAAATAAAGAATCTTCAATTTATTCTAGCAATTGGAATCCTTTGTATATTTGGCTTAATCAAAGATAGTTCACCGCTAAGAAGACTAAGGCCGACGATAGCTTTGAAGAAGAAAAGACCTTACTGACAGTCACAAAATATGGTTTTATTATAATTGTCTTTCCTACCTTTGTTTTCCCCACTTTTCCCCCCTTCTCTTCCCTTTCCCTCTTTCCTCTCTCAAACTTTCCTTTCTTTCCCTCTTGGCTTACGCCAAGACTGGTGCGTCTCTTTGTTGTATATAATTTATAGCTGTGTTGTTGTCTTTTTTTTAAAAAAGTAAAATTAATAAAGTTTATTTAAAAAAAAAAAAATCCCGAGGACCACTAATACGATTTTTTTTAAGCTAATATATTTAATATAATTTTTTAATGTTAAATATAAATTATATATATATATATGTATGTATGTATGTATGTATGTGTATGTGTATATGCATATGTATATACACACATACACACACACACGTACATACATACAAAGATATACATATATATATATGTATACATATATACACACACACACACACACACACACACACACACTTACTTATTTAATTATAACAAAAATGTAAATGCTTAATGATAATAAAATAAAACGTTCTTGGAAGGCTCCCCCTACCCGGCACCTTCCAAAGAGACAGAAGAGTGGGTGGTGTGTGTGTGTCTGAGCTGAGGGGCCTTGGGGCAACTGCTGCTGGGAGAAGCAGAGGCAGAAAGGGGGCTTTGCTCTCCTTGGGGGGGCAGCACCCTTTGGCTGCCATTCCAGGAGCCTGCAGCAGGACTGCCGCTCTTGGTGATTAATTGGGGGTGGGGTGGGGAGAGAAAGCATCTCTCGCATTACCAGGGAAGGAAAGGAGACGAAAGAAAGCTCACTCTTTCACTGAGACCTACAAAACGCCAATCTACCATGTTCCAGGAGTTCTTCGAAATCATCAAATGTTCCCACTTGCAGTTCCTGTGCCTCCCGGCTCAGGTCCCTGAGATGCACGCTCCCACACAGGGTGGCGGCAGCATGCAGGCAGAAAGGAAAGGAAGATGGAGCCATGCACAGCTCTCCCCTTTTCCAGCCCTTACTGCCTCTCCCAACATCGAAGCCTCAGAAACGCAGGCAAAGCCGCCACAGCGGTAGCACCCCAAGTTGCTTGCTTCTCCACTACTGCCTCCTCCTCCTAACTAACCGAGCATGCTAAGGCAACTCAGGACGCTACCGCTGCGGTGGCTTTGCCTGTGTTTCCGAGGCTTCTATGTTGGGAGAAGCAGCAAGGGCTGGAAAAGGGGAGAGCTGTGCATGGCTCTGTCTCCCTTTCCTTTCCTGCCTGCACGTGGGCGGGGGGGGAGGAACGAGAGAGAGACGGGAACAAGTCAAAGCTAGAGAGGCGCTGGGGGAGGAGATTGCTGCTGCCGCCGGTGTAGGAGCTGGTTGGTGCGTGCATCTCAGGGATCTGACTCCGGGGTCCCTCAGAGAGCCGGGAGGAGCAAGAACTGCGTGGCCCAGATTAATTGCTTTTGGGGACCATTTCTTCTGCGGCCCACCAAAATTTTTCCATGGCCCACCAGTTGGCAACCGCTGCTCCAAACTACCTTTACTTCACCTTGTGCCCATCTCTACACACTTGTGAAAAATAACAGTTTAACTTGTTAATTTTAACTCACCAGCCCTTATGCACAGGAGCAAAAAAAAAAAGCTCATGTCTATGGGGGTTGGTTTTTTTTGGAACAAATTTTATTAATTTTTTGAAAACAATACACAAACAAACAAAACATAGGATGTAGTAACATAAAATATCTTTTCTAAAAAAACAAATGAAACATCTTGTTTAAAAACAAAATAATTCCAAATTATCACATTTCTATACAAACACAATTTAATATGTATATTTATCTTATCTGTTCAACTTCATATCTTTTCCCAGCTTCTCTTTATTGCTCCCTTTCCTTCTATTTAATTGTGTTTCTTTTGCCTTGAATTATATATATTCATTGTATATAGTTTCATTAGTTCTCTTCCACATCCTTTCAAACATAGACAAACATTACACAAAACATAAATATATAAAACTTCTTTTTGGAAAGCGGCTTACCCCAGGTTAAATCTTTTTGTACAGACATAAATCAAATTCATGCTCACTTAATATACTATTTCATATCTTACTTAACATTCTATATTTTCTACATATTTTCTCTCTCCTATTCACTCTTTTAATTCTATTTTATTTATTTCATCTCAATTTAAATAATTATACTTGCAACTTTTGTCCGTTCTCTTTCAATCATCTTTTTATCCTGTCTTTCTAATACAATATTTATCCTGTAAACACTGGTTGAAGTATGACAACTTTTTATCTTTCCCCTAAGTTTAACACTTAAAATAATACATATTTTCCGTACTGATTCTGCTTCGTACATTCTAAGTACTACATTTCAAAATAATAAAACAAACAAGTAATATTAAATTTAATAAGTAGTAATAAAACCAAAAAAAAAGGAATATTGAGTTTATGATATAATAAGAGCAATGTTTCATAGGAAATTAAACTCTATTATTAAATCTTAAACGTTTTCATAGCTTCCCTTTAATGCATTATTAACTCATATAATATTTTAATTTTCGGACTCAGTTTCAAATACTAATATCTACGATATAATCTTATGTACTTTTGCAGAATCATTTTTATAAAATTATATCTTACCCCTTATCTCTGAAAAAAACCTGTTTTTTAACATCTTGTTTAAAACCTTTATGACTTCTCTTTCCTTTTTCCCTTCCTTTATCAATTCTAGCTTTTTGACCCCCCCATCTCTCAAATTTCACTCTCTTAGTCTTCCCTCTCTGTTGTATTTCTATTTTCTGTTGCTTTCTGACATCATATCAATTTTTCACCTTATTTTTCTTTTTCTTGGTTGCTTTT